ATGCGATCTCAAAATATATACAAACAAGTTTGACGGTTGGATCGTTAAAACTAATTTCATACAATGTGTTTCCCATCAAGTTCAATGGCATATATATTTACTAAGTAGATTTTAGGGTTAATCTCTGTTTACTATCCTGAAGTTTTGTGATTTTCAACATTTGATACATGAAGTTTTTTTCATCCCAGAGTTATACCTCAAGTCTTAATTTTGGGACAGTTTCATACATCTTTTAAGTTTTCCGTTAAAAATTTTGTTAACTAATGACGTGACGCCCACGTGGACAATAACTGAGCGCCACGTGTCAATATGGACCCACTTTAATACTAAAAAATATAAAAAAAAAATTAATATAAAAATAAAAAATAAAAAGTTTCTAGGCCTCAAAGTCTCACCCGTCTTCAACCTCCCCCAACCCCCTTTGCAACCCACACCCAACATCCTCCCTTCCATCTTCTACGCCATCGTTTCGATCATCGGCAACCCCCGCAATGCCCGACCCCATCCCTCCCCCCTCTCTTCTACACACCATATCCTTTCTTGCCTTTCCTTTCTCCGGCTAATCAATTCCTTCTTGTCTATCACCTTCGCTGCAAATAAGCACCCCTGCACCCCACTAAGGGACTTTAACTCGACCAAGTAGACGGAGCCGAGGTTAGATAAAGAGTTGCCAGATCGGGGATTCGGATCAGATCTTGTAGAGAGGGTTGGAGGAAGAAGATTGGGGTTAGGACTTGGGGACTACGAAGGCGGGGGGAGGCGAGCGGAAGAAGAGGCGGATGGCTGGAGCGTGGATTCGGAGCTGGTTGTGTAGCCAATTGCTCTAAACACCTCGAAAGACAATAAATAAAAGAGACATAGAAGAAAATGGAGACGCCAAGCAACGATGAGAGGGACTGAGATGAGAAAGGAGGGTTTAGGCCCATAAACTTGGTGGTGGTGGTGTTCATGGTTGTGGTGGAGGTGAAGCTCCGGCTTTGGAGAGAATGGAATGATGAAGTTGGGGGTTGAGGCCTAGAAACTTTTTTTTTTTTTTTTTTTGCATTTTTGGTATTTTTTAATATTAAAGTAGGCCCATATTGACACGTGGTGTTCAGTTATTGTCCATGTGGGCACCACGTCATCAGTTAACAAAAGTTCTAACGGAAAACTTAACGAATGTTTGAACCTGTCCCAAAATTAAGACTTGAGGTATGACTCTGGGATGAAAAAAACTTCATGTACCAATGTTGAAAACCACGAAACTTCAGGATAGTAAACAGAGATTAACCTTATATTTTAATTTATTTATTTTGTACTCATAAGCAAAAGGGGGAAAAAAATAAAAAGAAAAAAAGAAAAAACTTTGCGTGACGTAGGCACATCTATGTCGCGCAAAACATCTTTGCACGACTCAGGTGTACCTACATTGCGCAAAGTTTTTTTTTCCCCTTTTGCTTTTCTTTTGGGGTTCTTGCATTGCCTTTTTCTTTTGTAGTATCCACTTGTGTAAATGTTTTAAATTGACGATCAAATTAGTTCATTGTATTCATATAGGGTTAAATAGTGTAGCTGTAAAAAAATCATTAAAATCGGAGTTAAAATAACCGTTAAATCATAATTTTTCGTTTATAACCGTTGAAAAGGTTTGTCCCGTTACTTGATATTTGAATGTTTATTTTTTGCAATTTTTGGCCTATGCGATCTCGAAGCAAATACAAACAAGTTTGACGGTTGGTTCATTGAAACTAGCTTTGTACAATGCGTATCCCATCAAAATAATAGATTCACTAATACTTAGAGTTTATTTATACTTTCATTAAGTATAACATAAGATTTTGTGATATCCACTAGTGTAAATATTTTAAATTGATGATCAAATTAGTTCATTGTATTCATATAGGATCAAGGAGTGTAGCTGTAAAAAAATCATCAAAATCAGAGTTAAAATAACCTTTAAAGCGTGATTTGTCGTTTATAGTTTGACAAGTTTGATAGTTGGATCTTTGAAACTAGTTTCATACAATGTGTTTCTCATCAAGTTTAATGGTATATATATTTACTAAGTAGATTTTAATTTATTTATTTTGTACTTATAACACTTAAGAAATTGAATGATATATGTGTAAAAAAAAAATTATCGTGGGTTTTTGTTAGAAAAATATATTATTGTGGGGTTTATGTAAAAAAATTTTGAATTTGAAAGGAGGAAAGTCACATTTTCAATAATTTTTATAATAATTAAAAAAAAAAACCTTGCGCGACGTCTTATTTTAATCGTCGCACAAAACCACTTTGCGTGACGTCAAAATGTATACCTGCGTCGCGCATAATTTTGGCGGTGCAGTTGTTAAAAATAGGTGCTTTTTTTTTCAAATTTTCACTACTGATACCCAAACTCTCTTCCCTTGGTCTCTCACTTGGTCTCTCTCTTCCCTCTCGCTCTTATATCGCCCTCTCTCTCACTCGGTCTCTTCTTCCCACTCGCTCATATCACCTTCCTCCTAATCCTCATCTTCATCCTCATCCTCTCCCAACTGCACTAGGTGAGAATCAAGCTTAATTCTTTTCCCGTAGCCAGCAGGTATAGACCCAGGTCAGAATCAAGCTTAATTCTTTATTTTTCTTAATTCTTTGTTTTTCTTCTTTCTAAGGTCAGAATCAAGCTTTAATGCCTTAATTTGAAGATTTTGGTATTGTAATTAGATTCAATTTGGAAAATTAAATTAGAAATTGTGGGTTTTAGTGTTAAACCGAATTTTAGGGTTTTAGTGTTAAATCAAATTTTAGGGTGGTGGACGGACTATGTCTTATCATTGGATTGCATTTTAAGTGGAGGATAACAAATTTGTGGACTTTGGGATTCCTTATATTTTCTCCAATACTGTAAATACTGGAGACTGTAAATCTGTGATAGTACTGAATTCCTTCAACCAGATGATAACTTTGTGATTCTATTATGTTCTGTTGTTAATTTAAGTTTTCTTGCATGATTTTAGTCTTCTCTATAGCATGCAAAACTTCAATTCCGGAGTTGGCAGCCTCACACCAATTCCAAAACAAATCCATACATAGCTCAGATGCTGAGATTTTGGAATATTCTGCATTGTACAATTAGATGGTGTTGCCTACATGGTGATACTTAAAATGATTTTAATTTGTTAGTGTGCACGACTGCTTATAATGTCCTTCTCTTTATCACTTGATTATCTCAACCCTAGGTAATTAGTAATCAGTGACGAGAAGTTATTGTTTCTTTTGGTTATAGCTCCTCGGCTTGATTATTATATTTGTCCAATTTTAATTTTGGAATTTTTTTTTCAAGGAAAGATAGGTTTTGGCCAACTGGTTTCCGTTGCTATAGCCTGCCTATATTTTCATTGTGTGCTAATTGCCACGTGATTTCCATTCAGAAACAAGCTACCCATATAGATGTGTTCCAGTTGTTTGCTGAGAAGGTGAGAGACAATAAGGATTTGGTATCTTGGTGGGTTGTTCTCTAGGAGACACACGTGGAATATTTCAGGGGAGCTAACCTCTTAATTGTTCTTGTGTAAGTAGCTTGATGCGCTTGCAGTTGCAGGCTCTACCTTTTAGTTTTTTCGTTTCATCTTAGGAACCACTTAAGGTGACTAAATCCGTCTTTTCTGTTTCAGCATATCTGCATTGCCTATGTACTCCTACTCTTTATGATCATACTACGATTTTTATGTTTACTTTGTATTTGTGTACTGTTTACATGTGGTGATATTATCATACCCTTTTGTACTTTTTGCTTTAGATTGCAATGTTTTGATTTTATATTTATAGAACATTGAAAACTATGAAGGGAATGGGTGAACTTACTCGAAAGTGTTTTGAAATGCCCCTTTAGTAGGTTTACTTATGTTTAAATCTTTTCTTTCTGTATGCTTTCTTCTCTTCATGTATTTTCTAACCACCACACACTACATCTGGTAAATTGTTTATTGTTATTTGTAGGACCAAGTATTTTCTGAGAATGATGCTTTCTTTGCATGGACTTTTGTAAAACGAAGGCCTCTCTGGCAAACACTTCTTTCATTTGTCTGGCCGATGGTTACATTGACAATATGCTTGTGACCTGTTTATCTGCATTGGTGCAAGCTACTAATACTCTACTCATGTCTCGAGGTCCTGCTACTTTTTTTTTCTCTACTAGTTTGTAAGTTCTGAACTTCTGGTCATTTGTTTTTAGTTTAAAATATCATTAGGAACTTTACATTTTCTTAAGTCTTATTGGTTTACAGTGATGTGGATATAGAGTATTGTTAGAACCAATCAAACGTTAAGTATATATTATACAACAAATTTGCACAGTTTTATTACAAATGGTAAAACGCAACAACAAACACAATATATTAAAACATAAACACTTAGTGTAATTATATATAGAAACACAAATCACTGACTTGTTCTTTGACGATAGAGGCTTGCAGAGCAATCTCCTAAGACAGAAACTCGTCCCTACACTTGTGCAGCAGTTCGATGGACGTCTATCTTGCAGGATACAACTATCTAATCCAAGTTCTTGCACTCGAACTTGGATTCTTGGCGAATTGGTTGTGTGGTTCTCAGCGAAAATATGAAGGAATGAATCTGGAAAACTTGTTATGCGTTTCTGATTTTTATTGCCATATATATAATGGCATAAGTTCAACTGCTCCAACCGTTCATCCTTATCAGTTTTAGTAAAAAGAAAAAGGAAGGCAACTGTTCAATAAAACTGATCGTAACTGTTGAAAACTGAATCCAAAAAATCAAAAACGTAACTTGGGGGCCAACCGAGCCCCAAGGCCCAAGGCCCATCTTTGACATTTAATATATACACCCAAACTCTCCAATTCTAAGGCCAACGATCCATGGCTTTGGCCCAAATCAAGTCAAACTATAAGTGAGTCCATTTACTTATAAAGGTGATGTTCCATGAATGTTTGGGCGATGTGGGACTCCTAGTCCCACATAAAACACAGTTCCAACAAGTATAAATTATGTTCATACCACCGCTATTCAAAATGGTCACTATTTTATTACACTTACTGCTGTGTTGGATATAGTGGCAATTTTGCACATTAGTGATGTGGTGGACAGCAATATGCCTTGCAATTGACAAATCAAATTTCAGGGTATCATAAGGTAGCTAAAAGGAAATCTAGTCTCTACACTCTTATTTTTACTCAACTACTCAATTTCTCTCCCTCTCTTTGTCCCTATTCAATGTTTTCTCTGTAATTTCTTGAACCATTGGTTTTTTAAATAATCTTGTATTGAAATATCATTGCTCTAATTAAACAGGTTTAGTTAATTTCTGAACATCGTATTTAACTGGGTTAATGTGCATGAACTTTTCAAGTCATTTATTAGTGAATTTTGTAAATACCGTGAAATTCTGGATGTAATTTGTACGGGATGTTGATTTGGATGAAGGGGTAGCGCAATTTGTAAGTTTGTGGAGCCTGGAGATCCTGAGTATAATCCGCCTGTCCAAAAGGGCAAAACTCCTGTAAGTTTTTTACTTGAATCACTTGTATGAGGACTTAGCATTATGAAATCGTTGTTTGTATTGACATGTATCTGTTTTGCTTTGTGAAATTCAGACACAATGTAGGGCTCGAATACACCAGTTAAGGCTTTGTAGAAGTTGAATGGTTGTGCAAGCTGTTCTAATTTATGTTTTAGATATATTTCATATCTTCTAATTTTGTTTCAAGTTTTAAATGTGTTTATGGGTTTGCATGATGCATGCATTATCTGTTTATCTTTCTTTAGCTACATGCTTGCTTAAGAGTTATTAGAGGATGAGTTGTGTCTCATATTTGCAATGCGCCTATGTCATAAGATACACTTTTAGGATTAATAATTTGATTAAGGCAGATTTCCAATATATTGCCAACTATGACGACCTTTTATACTTTCGAACTTTCTCTCTACCTTAGCTAGCTAGCTATGAACTTGATGATATTGTCATGATGTCAATCAAATTAATCATTGAATTACTACTTTTATTTCAAATGATAGCTACAAGCCAACCTTATCTTCCATGTACTTAAGCTTTCAATTTGCTTTGAGAACTATTAAATGTAATGAACTTTGGTATTGCCTTTGTTCCCTTAATCTGTATATTGCCTTTGTTTCCTATATCTTCTCTGCAACCTATTGGAGTCTAAGTGAGAAATGGCTCAATTATTACGTTTTATCACATGGCAGCTCATATTTAGAACAAAGAGGGTGTGTGGTTTTGGTGTAGTGATATTTGTATCATAATTAAACTTGTGGTTGTGTGGTTTTGGTGTAGTGAGATATGATGAGTGATGAAGGAGCTATATAAACTGTAGCAAGCTGCATGAAGTAGTGAGATACATGAAGGAGCTATATGAAGGAGTGATGAAGGAGCTTCAAAGGGAAGATGCTTTTATCTGCACACCTTCGAAAGAATTCAAGTTTGTATTTTTGGAGTTTGAGGACATGTGTTAATATATTCAAACACATGTCTTAGTTTTGTAATGAATGTATTGACTTTACCACATCGATCTTATATGCATTTGTTTTTATTAATGATAATACAAAATATTCATTAAACAATGCTTAGTGGAAATTTTACCAAAAAGCGTATATTTCTTGCCTCAATTTCCATTGGTTTACTAATTATTTTTTATAATTTAATTACAATATTTATTAAAAATTAAATAAAAAATATTTTTGCTAAAAAAAAAGGGTTTGCGCTACGAAGAAGTAACTTACATCGCGCAAAACCACTTTGCGCGACACAGGTTACTTCTTCGTCACACAAACCTTACTGTCATTGCCTTGGCGCGACAGTTGGTGCGTGACGAAGGTTCGTTGTGCTAAGTTTTACGCGACGTTTTTTGACTTTGCGCAACGAAGGACCTGCATCGCGCAAAGTGTTTTTTGCACTAATGTTTTGAGCTAACTGTATGCAAATTAGCCTTACTCTGGCCCTAAAAACTCATGGCTCCACACAATCATTTGAAATGGCAAGGGCAAGTACTATTCAACTTTTTTTTTTTTTTGAAAATGTTTAATTATATTAAATTATTTCAAATACAAGGCAAAAACATAGTATTACACAAATATAATTAATTTTAAAAAAAAGGCAAAAAATAAAAAATTCCTTTTATAATTTAACCAACTGCAAAATTGAAACAATTATATTCTTAATAGCATTCAACCTAGGGGATAAAGTCATTCTGACTTGGTCCATCTTCCCTTTGGGTGTATGGAACTTCCTTATCTTTCGCGGGAAGCCTTCTTCTCATGACACGATTTTTTTTCACTTCTCCAAAAACATTTTGAACTCATTGTTGAGGTGTCGAGACATGATCACCCTATCCTTCTCGTCTTGCCTTTCTTGCCTTGCAGCGGGGTCCACCTTTTCAAATTTGTCGGGCCATTCTCCTTCTAAGAACACACTGCGTTGGCATCGGTTTGACGTCATATTGATGTCGGCTTGCCCTCTAGCATAAGGCTGGGCTTCTCCTGCTCGGCTTTTGGGTGCGCAGTGGTTGGCGCACCACTTGCCTTTGCCTTATTGGATTACATGGAAGTGTTTTTGGGCTTGAGGATAACATTGTTGTCTTTGTCCTTGCTTTTGTCTTCCATCAATAGGTGGAGATGCTCTAAACTGACCATTTGAAGAGCCTTGAGCTATTTTAGCCTACGCAAGATATGTCTCATTAATGTTTATTTTTGTCATTTTGTACAAAATATGCTCTTATAGTATCAAAATTTGAAAGGGTAAAATGTTTTCCCATCATTTATCAAATGTCTATAAATAAAATAACTTTTTCTTTGTCAAACTAAAAATAAAATGGTTTAGCATATGACGCTTTGCCGCATTGACGGAAAGCAATCATATCTATGCACTCTGATGTGTGTTCAACTCCCACCGATTTTTCTCTCCTTAACAACTAAATATCTAACTCATTAAAACTATCGCTCTACTAAAAAAAAAAGTGAAAGTTTTTGGTTTAGTAATCATTAATAATTTTAAAGCCATTGAGGGTTACGAAGTTCTTTTTGTATGACAATGCATGTTGAACTGAAAAGGAATACTAGAATGAAATAATGAACCTACTGTTGTGGAAGTTCAAAGCGGATCGTCAGCACTACGCAAGATTTTGGAAGAGGGTTGCGTTGGTGGAGGGGTGTCCGGAGAGAAGGGGAAAGAGAGTTGCAATTGGCTGAAGATCTAGGAAGTGACCAGATTTTGGAATTCTAACTGGAATAAAAATCAGGAATGGAAGCTTGGTGAGTGGAGGCTTAGCTGACTTTATTAGCATTCTAATATTTATTCTTCTAAATATTACAAAAGAATATATATATATATATATATATATATATTAGAGTTTATTATGGAATAAAGTGGGTGGAAAATAGCATTTCAATTTTTTTTTATTGTGGGTGAAATCATAATGTAACAGTCTTGCTTTCCTAAGGATCCACAAGATCATATTAGCATAGATTCAAAGGCTTAAAATATTTGACACCTTAATAAAGCAAAACCAACTTAAAACTCATGAACAAATAGAAAACTTATTTTCTTGTTTTGCTTTATAAAGCTGTCAAATATTTTAAGCCTTTAGATATATATATATATATATATATATATATGAATATAATTTTTTGGCTAATATGCGTTTAATCTTCACATGTGCTCAAAATTAGGACCTTAGGAGAACAAAACTCTACAAATATGTAAATGGGAAATAAGACATTAGGGTGAGCAGCCTCCTTAATTTGTGTTGTTTAACATAAATTTCGGATTAATTCATAATTTAGATTAGCCTTCTTCATCTTAGTATGCGAAGTCCAGGTATCAGCCATATAATCTTGTGCTCAAAATTGAGGACCTTAGGAGAACAAAACTCTATAATATAAATGAGAAAATAAGACATTGGGGTGAGCAGCCTCTTTAATTTGTGTTGTTTAATATGAATTTCGGATTCATTCATAATTTAGATTAGCCTTCTTCATCTTATTTTGCGAAGTCCAAGTAATAGCCATTTCGATGACATGTGACAAGAATAAAATGTTGCTACCCCTCGTTGACGTGTGGCAATTAGAAAGTGCGTGAAATATTATCTTCCAAAAAGAAAAGCAAAATATTATCTAAAAAATAAAAATATAAAATTGGTTGAACATATTTAAATTTAAATAATTCACCTACCATCCATATTATAGTTTCAAATTAAATCAGATTTATGATGATTCCGATCTGGCTGTTGTTCGATTATTGCAACAAATTTCTGATAAGTAGCCTCCCAAACGGCCCATGATCTTGGCATGTGATAGAACTTAATTGGTTAGCTCTCATTAAGATATAATTAATATGTATCAATTATTTTTTTGCTATAAATTATCAATTAAAATATGGAAGTCGGAATTTTTGTTGATTTCCATGCTCTTTGTTGATTCTCTGCATGTGTTCCTCAATAAAACCTGGTTTTTGATGTACAAATACTCAGGGTTTATAACTCATCAGTGTCTTAGTAAGACTGTGTGCATTAAAACTAATTGAAGATCTCAGGTAGGCCTACCATACACCATAATTTAATTAGCATATTTAACTATCTCAATATATTTCTTGTAATCAGGGGTCAAAGAGGACAGCCAACGAGATCCCAGACGGCAGATGTAAATATTTTTCCTTTAAAGCTTTTGGAGTGCAAAAAATATTTACTTAGTCAAATCACTTAATTATAAAGAAACATACACTTTAATCTTGTACCTCCGCATTAGTACGGTAAGTAATTCAGCAGAGATCTGTACGTTGTCTCTTTCTTTTCTTTTTTCTCGAACTTTCCTTCATATAGGATTGTTTGAATTGATGATTCATAAAATTGAATCGATTTTGGACCAACTTAGATCCGGACGTAAATCCCACAAACACAAGAATGAATAAGATATTAATAACCTATGTTTGAAATCAAAGCTTCCCGCCATAAAACTTATTGTAGATCACAATGGAATGAGTCAACAGGAAGGTTTGGATGAAACTTTTCAACAGTCCAATCCTTTGGCTGTTGAATAATTTTGAACTCAAATGGATTATTTGTTAATTGTATCATCTGTAAATTATCTTTGGTTTTGTTTTGAAGAGTTTGCTCTTCACTCAAACTCTACTTGTAATATCTATATAAACATTAATACAATATGTTCAAACTATTGAGCACAATTCTGATAGATATGTCGTGGTTTATGTCTACGTTGGTGTAGATTCGTTTCCACTGTGTAAATATGAATTACATTATACAAGGAGGCTAGTTGCCCTTGAGAAAGTAGAGAGGGTACAGTTTTGGACTGAGAGCTCTCTCTAAAGCGAGGTGAGGGATCACTTCGAAAGGGCAAGGGTTTTCCTCCCCTTTTACAACAAAAGTCCACAACCGAGAAGTTTTTCTCACTCTAGAAACTTGAGAAGCATTGTTTGTACCTACTTCACTAAGAGCGTCTTCACCCATTGGTGGAGGGCAAGAGCAATTGGAAGGTTAAGGCAATAAAATTGTCCTTACGATTCACTGTAATCAGTAGTTACTTTTGTGCAAGTCCACCCGTTTGGAAGAAGGAAGGGCAAGAGCGATTACTATTCATAATTTTTTTTTAATGTTTTCTTCTTCTTATCCCTACATATCATTATCATCATAGATTTTTGAGTAATTTTAAATGTTTAATTTGCAAGTGTTTTGAACTTTGTAAGATTTTTAAAGTGTGAACTTTATAAGGTTTTTATTTTTTATTTTTTGGTAATTTTTATGATTTTTATAATTTTTTTTTTTTTTTGGATTTTTTAGAGTTGAATTAATCATGGCCATCCTAGTTTCAATTTTTTGAATTAGACGCTCACAAAGCACCACGTGGCGGTGCTACAAAATTATCAAATTTTATTAACCATAGAAAATCTAATGGTTAAGATAAAAGAACCATAGGAAATCCAAAGGTCTGCAAGGGTGCTGAAATTGTGTTGTCACGTGGGTTTTTGGGCTAAGCTATCACATGGGTGGGGCCCTCCCTCACCGTCCTACTAATTAAAAGGGCGCAAGTTTGTGTAATTCTTGGAAGGTTGCAAGCCTTTGGCCCAATTGCCTCTTTAATTTTTGATCGGTGGAGAAAATTTTTGTGGCTTGGAGGCAATTTAACCTAATTGCAAAGGCAGCAGAGGGACCGGTGGAGATGCTTGACCCCCAAAAATGACCGAGCGCCGATCACTTTATACCCTCATGGACCTACTAAAGTTTTTGTACCGAGGCACCCTGCCGAAACACATGAGTCTCTCCAACTAAGAGACCAATTGTGAAATCTCATCCTCAGAATTCACTATTTAAATTTTGTATTTCATTTTCGCGGTTGTTACAATGGGTCCCAAAATTTTGGCGTAAATTGTTTTTTTTTTAAATTTGTAAATGGACAAAATGCCCCTATTGGGCTACACGGAGTTCTACGTGGATGTTTTAGATTCTTTCATGTTTTCCTCATTTCTTGGCATATTAGAGTCTTTTTCTAAGTCTTTTTAGGTCTTCATTTACCCTTTTGGTCTTGAGCCTTTGTCTCGTAATCACATCTTCTAACCAAAGTGTCTGT